GGCCCTAATCTGGCCCCCCATCCCTGAATAGTATGGAATTCTGGGATCTTTTAAGGTTTAGGCTCCTTACCAGTAAAATGACTAAAAATATCAGGTGTGGTTGAAATTTAATAAGGTTATATGGTAAGGTGTTTAGCAGAGCATCTGATCCATAGTGCCTGTTCAATAAGTGACTGTTCTTATTTACAGCTAAATCAAGAGCTATTTCAAGAGATAGGTGTTTTATGCTCTAAAGCTGGTCAGTCTCATATGGTGGTCACAGACCAGATGTGGTGACTGAGCTCTTGCAATGTAGTTAGTTTGAACTGGGTGAGTATAAAACACACTGGATTCTTAGGATAGTACAAAAAAGTAAAATACCTCATTAATACCTTTTATTTCGGTTACGTTTTGAAAGAATTTGGTGAATTATTTGAAATATTTGGTGATATATTGGATTAAATAAAATATATTGCTAAATGAACTTCACCTGTTTCTTTTGACTTTTTAAAATGTGGCTACTAGAAAACTTAGTACGTATCTTGCATTATATTTCTGTTGAGCAACACTGATCCAAACTTTCTGGTCCAAGCTGTGTACTGGTGGCTCAGGCCTGTAATCCTAGCTACTCAGGAGGCAAAGATCAGGAGGATGGCAGTTTGAGGCCAACCCAATCATACAGTTCTCGAGACCCTGTCTTGAAAATACTCAATGCAAAAAAGGGCTGGTAGAGTGCCTAGGTGGTAGAATTGCCTGTCTAGCAAGTCTGAAGCCCTAAGTTCAAACCCTAGTATTGCCAGAACGAAAAACCAAAGTGTCTGGTTCAGGACACAGTTAGCTATATAGAGACTCAATATTCGACTGGTTGATTGACATAACTTAGTCTCATCATTTCTCTCCGTTAAGGAAACTGTATACCTTTAAAAATGCACACTTCAACAAATACAGATCTATGGAACAGACTTATTTATCATTAGAGAATTTCATACACCATTTTATATTCACTCAATTAGTTTTTTGATAATTTCCCTCTGCAAATTCGTGGCTCTAAGCACTGAAGCAAAACTCTACAAAAAAATCCTCAGGGAAGATTTGTGCAATGAAGAATGATGACTTCTTAGGGGTTAAGAAATCAGATTGCTGAAATTAGCCTTGTCAAATGACAATGAATCATAAATTATTGGTAGCCAACTCTTGTCATATGTAATGGGAAAATCAAGATCGCTGATGCTCTCTGGCTTGTGGATTTTTCTGCTCTTTTGGCAGTTCTAACCTGAAGGACTTCAGGAGGCATAAGATGGGGACATAGAGAAGAAAAAGAAAGACTTTTAGAAGACACATGATTCCAGGGACCATTTGGCATTTCATAACATTCCTTCAGCATGCAGCAGATGTTCCATGGAGCAAATAACACTCTGTCTGTGAGTGTATTACTCTTTTAGTCAACTGGATTTCCAGCAAGCAAGGTTTTACTCAAGAGAAATGTCCAACCTGGTTCTATCCTAAGTTTTGTGTGGGAGTGGGAAGGGGGCTTGAATTTGATTGTCTGAATTGTTCCAGAATGCACTAGGATGCTTCTTCACCTTTCTCTCCCCATCCCTTGGCCCCTCTTCACCCCCCATCTCCTCCTCCAACAGTTTACATTTATTTAATGCTTAACACATGCCAGCTATCTTTCTCAATAGTTTATGTTAATGGCGCTGGTGCGTCTCTGATCAGAAGATCCTGGTTTTTGGACTCCAAATGGAAAAAACCCAAGCAGAGCACATGGATGGAGTGAGGTAGGATAGCTTTATTGAGAAAAGGGGAGTCACCTGTTCTGCCACGTGAGGAAAGGGAAGAAAAAGCAGAGGGTACAGGGTGCGTAGGTGGAGTCCACCGGCAGACAGAGCATGCTTTTCTTTCTCAGGTGCCTTTAAAACCCACCCTACCTCACGGGAGGGCAGTCACAGGAGGTTCCCACACAGTAATGATCTGAGTGGGGGCGGGCATAGGTGGTTCCCAGCCAGGTGAGGGTGGTCTGGCCCATCCCCAGGCAACCTACACGAGCCCCAAACTTTTCCTACATGAGCCCAAACTTTTCCTACTTCTAGCCTGGCTCATTTATACCTGTTATTATGTCACTGAATACTCAAACCATTCTTTGAGCTAGATATTACTTCGAACCGGCTTGGTAAAATGAGGGAACTAAGGTACAGAGTGAGTCAGTAAATTGCCCACAATCACACAGCTAACAAGTAGAGAAACCAGAAAAAGTAGCCAACTTTGCCTGTCTTGGTGCTCAGAACCTTAGACTACAGCATCTAGAAAACTTCTGACTAGTTCACACCTCAGAAGACAACAGATCCATTTGGTTGGGGCAGGCCTGCAGATTATTTCTTAAGCTTCCCTAGCATCCGGAGTCAGAGCTTTTAGACCTCCAAGCTTTTGTGGCTTTTGAGGGAGTGTCAAAGGACTGTTAACAGATATCCTGGGTGCTGAATAGGGTATTAATAGGGTATTGTTTGAAATGTTTTGCAACATCCAATGTTTTCCTTTGAACAAAGATGCATATTATTTAGTTCTTATTAGTGATGTTCATTGTGGGTTTGTATTGTGCCTTTGAGTACATTTTGGTCCCTCAGTGTCAACATGGTAAATGGAAGAATTCCATACCCTTTGCATTCCGTTTTCAGTCATTCTGCACAGTTCTGCTTTCCAGGGAGCCCCCTAGCGTTTATTTAGCCTAGGCAGTCAGCTTAGGTCCATGGCGGACTAAGGTAGAGTGAAAATGGATAGAGAGGAAGGTGAGAATATGAGCAAACATGGAAACTGTAGACACACTACTTCATTTTGCATCAGAATGGAGAGGGGAGAGGGAGGCACTGGTTAAATTCACCTGGACTTTCAATGTTCAAATGTCCCTATCTTTTCTTTATGAGCAACCTGATTCATTGTTCTCTCTAGGCAGTTTGGAGGTGTGGGAGATAATTTAAAGAACTGTGTTTTCTCTGTTTAGTGAGAAACAGAGAATAATGTCTCTTTTTTTCTTTTTTCTGGCGGTACTGGGGTTTGAACTCAGGGCTTCATGCTTGCTAAGCAAGTGCTCCTACCACTTGAGCCATTACTGATCTTGTTTCCTCATGGGAGCAGGGAGAACTATCAATTAAATATTTGCATGTCCTTCATGGCTGAAGGTAATGATGGCATTAGGCCAAATCAAGTCTTTATCATGGACCATGGCACAATTAACACATCACTTGGAACTCGTCTTTGTATAGTTTTTAAATATGCCATAGGCTTGTGGAATGCTACAGTGGGACAGATTTACTGAGAATTTCTAATCCAGTTTCCTTGTTTTACGTATGTGGAAACTAAAGTCCACAAAACAGTGAGTTAGAATGAAAGATGTACTTTCCAGACCGTCACCTCTTTGGCCTTTCCACTGCAAATGACTTGCTTTCTTTGCAACAATGAACTAAACTTCCTGGTTCTTTTAGTGTTATTTTCAAGTTATTTCCTTGGCAGAAAATATTATCAGTATTGCATCCAATATATTCATAAAATGACTTACAATCAAGTGATAAAGATCATCTTTAGTTAATAAGTAATTATATCTTACTAAATAATTGCAAACAGGATCCTCATTCTAGAATTTTTCTTTCTTTTTTTGCCTGTAAATGTACACAAAAGCAGTCAATTGTGAGCCTGTTTTCTTTAACTAAGGGTGAGTGTATCTGCCTATTAGGATGGCACAATACATAAGGTAACTATAAACTGAATAATGATAGGCAGAAATACATACACACATACAGATTAATGGTGTATACATTTTGCTCAGGTATGTTATACTTCGAAGATTTATCAACACACAGTGAGTCCTGGACACAAACTGACAGAAATTTCAGATACAAGGTTACAAAATTATATTTTTTGGGCAATTTGGCATTTTAGCTTTTTGTTTAGTAAAGCTAAGAACACGCTGGGGCAATGGGGATGTTCTTTATTATGTACCGAGTGATTATATAGGTGTTTACATAGGTAAAAATTCATTGAGCTATACATTTAAGATTTGTGCATTTTGCTGCATGTTCCTTACACTTAAAAAAAAACCCTAAAAATTAAAAACCAATCAAGAAGGACCAAACAAACAAAAAAACTGGCGTGCAATGTAGCTTTTAGTGACTTATGCTAATTTATAATTATAATTATATAATTACTATTTATAATTTCAGATTTGCTACTCAACACCTTAATTACTGATTGCTACTTTGTCGATGGTAGTACTTAACACTTTCCTCCTTTGTGTTAATCTTTCAGTAAACTAATTTACTTAAAAGGATCCAGTGGTCTTTTTATAAGGCGAGAAAGCCCTTTATCGACTCGTTTGCAGGAAAGATGGTGTAAAAACCGTCCAAAATTGTGTGTAATACCACGAGGCGGCCTCTAGGGGGTGGGCTACATACGGACACTCCTCACTCTTCCGTGGTCTGGAAAACCACGGAATAAAAACCTAATAGGCCACGGTTTTCGGATAGCATATAGGTCTTGAACTGAATTTTCCCCAAAGAAACTAAGATTCTATTTTCCTGCCCGTGGATTCTAAAAATCTACTTCCCCTGCCCTGCCCCATGTCGTTTGTGGGCAGTTGTTGATACCTTTAAAAACTATTTACTTTTATGGTTTTCCACCTTCCTGCGTTATAAAACCCCATTCTCTAATGTTTAGGCTACTTTCAAGAAAAGTACAACTGCCGGGCTAATTTGGAGGTGCAAGTCAGGTAGTTGCAGCTTGAATAAAGAACCTTACCGATAGCCAGAAAAAGGAAGAGGACTACAATTCCCAGAATGCAGCGCTTTCCTCGTCTCGGAGGGCCGCTCCTTCTGGCTGCCCAATGAGCAAAGGCTGCGAGCCTCTTCTCTCTCCTATTGGTCAACTTCCCCCCCTCACCCCCCCACCCGACCGCAGGGGCGAAGCAGGGTGGGAGAAATAGAGGACCCCGGATGGCACATTCCCCGCCCCACGAGGCTCCGGTCGGAAAATCCGATTAAGAACGACCTCCCGATTGGACATTCGCAATTCCGGTTAGAGAGAAGAGCCAATCAGAATGAGTCTGCTCTCTGAGTCCCCGCCTCTTCCTGGATGTAAGCTTTGGTGGCGGGAAAAGTTCTGAAGTTTTCGCGCCAGGGCGGAGCCACCCAGGGCTGTTCGCGCGGCTTTGTAGCAGGCAATTCCGAGGCTGCGGGCATGGCGGGGACGGTGGTGCTGGACGATGTGGAGCTGCGGGAGGCTCAGAGAGATTACTTAGACTTCTTGGACGACGAGGTGAGGCGGGCCGCGTCTGGCGGGAGCGGCGGCGGAGCCGGCCGAGTTCCTGTTGATTGGGGGGTCGCCAGTGCGTGTCCCGAGCGTGGCAAGTGGTGGCGGGGCGCCGGAGAGCATCAGAGTGGCCAAGCCCGCCTCGGCCTTTTCGGGGAGGACCGCGGGGTCCCGCGCGCCGAGCGCTCGCGTTCCCCGCCGGCCGCCCGTCGGAGGGAGGAAGCGCCAAGTCGGCGCCCCGATCGGCTGCACGGGGCCCGCGGTGACGTCCCCTGGGGCCTGCAGCCGGCTCGCCCGTCCGCCCTGCAGCAGGCTGCATGGTTCCGCCCCGTGCAAGTGTTCCCTGTGCCCAGCCCCTCCACTGCGCCCGCCTTTCTCCCCTGGCCCTCGCCGTAAGTCCGTGTGCCTTGTGCAGAGGGTCCCGATGTCCTTCAGAGTCCTGCGCCCGAGTCCCCTGGCCCCCACCCTCTGCCACCTCCCACGCCACGTCCCCCCTGCGATTCCCTCCCTCCCCGCCTCCCTCACGTCCGAGCAGGCCACGTGGCCAGCGCGTCCCGTGTAAGCGCGCAGGTGGCCACGTGGGTGTTTGTGTAGCTGAGTAATCGGTGAACCTGATCGACTTCACGTGATCGTCTGCAGCTCCGTCCAGCCTTCCGTTTACCGGCAGACAGACAATGTCATGCTTCTCCGTGGATGCGTGTGTGCGCGCGTACAGGCACGCACACTCACGCATGCCCACGTACACTCACGCACACTCACGCACACACTCACGCACTCACATACGCACACTCATGCATACTCACGTATACTCACGCACACTCACGCACACGCACACTCACGCTGGCTCAATCCACTCGCCCGCTGTAGGACATCCCGGCTGTTCCATAGCTCGGTTACTGCGGACAGTGCTGCACTTGGGTGGGCGAGTGGCTCTTTTGTACCCTGCTTCCATCTCTGGGTAAAAAGTGGTATCCCTGGGTCATCCATACAGCCGAACCTTAAGAGCTATAGAATGTTCACGAGCATATTAACAGTTTGAGGATAAACGAAAAGCCGCTTTAGTACGAATTTTAAAAGTCTGCTTAATTTATCCTTTAGTTTGTATTTAAGAAATACAGCATGATGTTGAAATGAGCACTACGATCAAGCAAATTAACTTACCCATTTCCATGCATAGTAAATTTACATTTCAGTAAGGTTTCTCCTTATTATCCTTTAATGCTTCTTAAAAGAAATGTTAGCATAAAGAGCTGTTAATGATAATGGGAATAATAACATGGACCTTATAATTTTTATGGTCTCCTATGAGGGCATAGTTGGAGTCTGAGAATAGTGAATAAAATGGAGGAATTGATGAACACGACATTGGGATTCAACTCTGCAGAGACTGAGTTAGTTCTCGTGCTGTGAGAGCTGCTTCTGTTTAGAAACAGTTTTTTTCTTTTCAGTAGTGCAGGGTTGAACTCAGGGCTTCTCACTTCCTAGGCAGGCACCCTACCACTTGAGCCACTCTACCAACCTAGAAACACTTTTGAATTTGGCTGTTGTGATATGTGGTGACTGTTTTGCAGGAAGACCAGGGAATTTACCAGAGCAAAGTTCGGGAACTGATCAGTGACAACCAGTACCGTCTGATAGTCAATGTGAATGACCTGCGCAGGAAAAATGAAAAGAGGGCTAACCGGTGAGTGGCAGGGTTGCCAGGGGGATGTCCTGGGTCTGAATGAAAATGACCTCACCTCCCTCTTGGTCAGATTGGAATTCCCAGTAGAGGACCTTGTTGAGGTTGTATTGACCTTGAAGCCCCCCATACCCATTGCCTCACCTGCATTTATAATTTACTTCCCAGAGGAAGTAAATACTTCCAGTATTTAGCTGAATGTCATTTTTACATCTTTGATAAGTTGAATTAAAATTGGTCCTCAATGCTGATGTATTTTACTGAATCATAGGATGACAGGAGAAAAGCAGGAGCTGGATTTTCTCTTATTGACCATAATGATCAAAGAATATTTCTGTTTTGAGGGCTGATTTTCTTGAGTTCTACCCTCTCTGCCTAATTATTCTTTTCTTTTGCTCATTTGTAGCCTGCTGAATAATGCCTTTGAGGAACTGGTTGCCTTCCAACGAGCCTTAAAGGATTTTGTGGCCTCCATTGATGCTACGTATGCCAAGCAGTATGAGGAGTTCTACGTAGGATTGGAGGGCAGCTTTGGCTCTAAGCATGTCTCTCCCCGCACTCTTACTTCCTGCTTCCTCAGCTGTGTGGTCTGCGTGGAGGGCATTGTCACTAAATGTGAGTGGGTTAAAGGAGGCACTAGGACATGGTGGTGGGATAGACTTAGAGGGGTTGGGAAAGCAGTTGAGGCTTAGATCTGGATAGCTTGTGGCTTCAGAGAAGTGGAGCACTGAAATTGCATGATGAAGCTTGGAGGAGCTCAGTGTCCACAGTTAGTAGGGGATCTTAAATGACTACTTGTGTTGGCAGAATGATGAATTGTGCTGAGAGCTGGAGGAGTCTTGGCTGCTGGAACTCTCATTCTATCCCCAGTCTAGTATTTCTTAGTTGTGGTCAACAGTACTTAAAATTTTACATGGATAAGGTAAGAGTCCATACATAAATGTAAAAAATGAATACAGGACAGATAATTGAAATAGCTTAATCTAGGAGGAAGAACAGTGTTTGGAGTCATTTAGGCTTGTATGGGTTTAGATCCCACGCTCTCACTGTCTGTCTGGGTGACTTTACATGCACATTTCCATTCTTAGGCTCACTAGTTCGTCCCAAAGTTGTGCGCAGTGTCCACTACTGTCCTGCTACAAAGAAGACCATAGAGAGACGTTACTCTGATCTCACCACCCTTGTGGCCTTTCCATCCAGTTCTGTCTATCCCACCAAGGTGAGAGGCATGAATCAGTTGGACCTCCTTGGGGACTGGAGCCAAAGATGTTTGTTTTAATCCAACTAATTGTATAATATCTTAAGTCTTTCTTCCAGATAGGGCAAAAAATAAGGATTAGTTCCAAGGAAAGATTGATTATAATCTAAAGTTTTACATAGAAATTCCACAATTTTTTTTTTTTAAAAAGAATAAATGCTCATTTTAGAAAACTTGGGATGCTATGGAAGGTCTGAAAGAAGGAAAGAAGTCATCTCATCTATGCAACTCCTTTAGAAAAGTTATAATATATAATTTTATAATCTGCTTTTCAAAAGTTAAATGGGAATGTTTTTGTTGTATATTGTTATTTGTGTAATCTTTGCAAATATTTCACTGGATTTGGGAGATGACTGGCATAGGAAAGGTTTTTGTGACATTCAGATTGATCTAAATTGAGGATAATGTAAGGCTTTCTCATGAGGCAGAAGATCATTTAAATTGATAACATGATGCCTGAACTCATTTTGTCAAGGAATATCTCTCTCCTGTCAAAGTTTAATTGAGAGCTCCTGTATCCAAGTCATCATTGAGCACTGCCTAGGACACAGATATGAATAACTCCCCATCCTTGTCTTCAATATTATCAACTGGTGGAGCAATCAAACATATAAACAACTAAAACAAGAGTGCCTTAGAATTGTAACTGAAACCCTTCAGAATCAGTCTACCTCTGAGATTTGGAAAGGTTAAGTGGTTTGCTTGTGGTCCCAGTTATAGAGGACCCTAAAGATTAAGACTCACATCTCTGGTTCAAATCAATTGCACTTTCTAAGTCTAAGTCACCCTGTTCTCTTTCTTTTCTTTTTTTTTTTGGTGGGTCTGGAGTTTTAACTCAGGGCTTTGTGCTTGCAAAAAAACAGGTGCTCTACTGCTTGAACCGCACCTCCAGTCTGTTTTCCTTGGGTTGTTTTGGAGATGGGATCTCGCAAACTATTTGCTTATATAGCCTTGGAAACTGTTTGCCTGGGCTGGCCTTGAACGTTGATCCTTCTGATCTCAACCTGCCAAGTAGCTAGGATTATGGGTGTGAGCCACAGGCACCTGGCCTGAGTCACCCTATTCCCTTTACTAAGGTTTCCACTTTCTGTATTTTCTTCTTCATGAAGTATCCAGGGAATACTCTTATGCTAATTATGGTAGACAACTTCCTTTGCTTGAGAACTGGAAAAACATTGGGCCTGGTCTCCTGAAGGTCATCAAGTGTGGTCTTTAGGAGCCTGGGCTTTGGAGTAGCTGACTGCTACTTATGTGACCTTGGGAGAGTCATTTAATCTCTCCCAGTTTATTTCATTGTCCATGATGTGTAGAAAATACCTGCTTAATAAGGCTGTGATACACATGAGAAAATTTCATAAAATAATAGCACAGTTCCTACACATAGCAAGTTCTCAGTAAGTGATGGCTGTCGTGTTTTTAAAAACTTCAAGTATCAAAGGAAGTAAAACTTTAGAAAAATGGTTTTATAGACGTTTAACATACATATAGAAAACCTTATGAATATATAATTTGATGAATTTTTCACAAGCTACGTACACCTATGTAGCCAGCATTCAAACCAGGAAACAGAACCTTAGTAGCACTCAGAAGTCCCTCCTGAGGGCCATGAGACCCTGATGTCTAACAGCATAGATGGCTTTTCATTTTTTCCTGTTTTGAGTAAGTATTTATATGTCGAGCTGCTTTTGTTCAACAGCGTGTCTGTGAGAGTCATCCACAAATTCTTATTAGAGTATAGTATTCATTTACGTGATTGTACTACATTTATTTGAGCATTCTGTTGTTGACATTTGTCTGTTAGAAGGCTGAGTTAGTGCTGCTGAGAGCATTGTGGTGAGTGGCTTTGGGTGAACATTTGTATTGTATTTCTTGGTGGAAAAGCTGCCTTAGTGTAAGCAGGTATTCAGCTTTAGTAGGGAGAGTGAGTAAGAATACTAACTTTGATGTTAGTACAGCCAGTTCCATCAGAGTCTGTGTTGCCTCTTCTATTAGACAGTTTGTTGCTAGAGTAGAGATAGTGATGGAAAAAGCTGGCAACAATACGTAGTTTTTATTTTGCTTCTAGATACTAAAATTTTGTGAAGCCATCCCTGAATTATGTTTCCAGTGTCAGATGAATGTGGCAGATTAAAATAACCCTGTGTGCCTTTTTCTAGGATGAGGAGAACAATCCTCTTGAGACAGAATATGGCCTTTCTGTATATAAGGACCACCAGACCGTCACCATCCAGGAGATGCCAGAGAAGGCCCCTGCTGGCCAGCTTCCCCGCTCTGTGGATGTCATTCTGGATGATGACTTAGTGGATAAAGTCAAGCCCGGTGACCGAATCCAGGTGGTGGGGACCTACCGCTGCCTTCCTGGAAAGAAGGGAGGTTATACTTCAGGGACCTTCAGGTACAGGATCTGCTGTGAAGTGCTAGAATGCTGTGGGCACTTTCTGTTTCTGGCAGTACTTTTTTTCCACTTTGCTCTACCTGATGGGGGAATCACACTACCTGACTGTGGGATGGCATACCTCTCATACCTTTCTTCTGTGATATAGAGCTGTTACCTGATTACAGCTGACTTACAGAAAGCAGGCATCATCAGCCCTCATTTTGGGTCATGGACAGAAAGAGTCTGTTGTTTAGTTCAGAACAGCTTTTGTTTTTTTCCCCGACTTGTTGGTCTAGCTTAGTAGCCTAAGGCTTACTGCTGCTGGGGGTACTACTAGCTAGTGATGTTGGAAACTGAATATCCAGGTTCTTCTTACTCTCCTCTTTGTCCCAGGACTGTCCTGATTGCCTGCAACGTGAAGCAAATGAGCAAGGACACGCAGCCTTCATTCTCTGCCGAGGACATAGCCAAGATCAAGAAGTTCAGTAAAGCCCGCTCCAAGGTCTGGGCATCCTTTGGGTATTTGAGGGTGGATTTGAAGTAGTGTTTGGGTGTGTGTCTGTCTTTGTACTGGATCCAGAGGAAGGTGCTAGTGTACCACCAGTCTTATACTTATTGCCGAAGACATGAGCGATGCATTATTACTTAGATTTAAAAGTTTTATTTTTGTTTTAGTTTCCATTTTGTTTTTCCTGTCTTTTTTTCCTTTTTAAAGACAGATGTCCACATTTAGAATTGAACACAATGTGTAAGTGTGTGATAAAGGTTACTGTGGAAGCATAGCACACATTCTTATTAAACCTAAAATGTTTGAAACTTGGAACACTTTCCCCCGCTTTTTTTTTTTGGCAGTGCTGGGGATTGAACCCAGGGCCTTGTCCTAGGCCAAGCACTCTAGCTCTGAACTACATCCTCTGTCTGCTTCTTTTTGTCTTGAAGACTAAAGCTCTAAGCAAGTTTAAGAATCCAGGCTACCTCTTTACCTGCTCTAGTAATTGTCTACAATATGATTTTTCTTTAAGCAGAAGCTCTTGCAATTAGGGACAGTATGTATATTCTTTGGGCATCTTTTATATGCTCCATAAAACCCACTGGATCTCACTAGGCTTTTCACTCTATTGCTTCTTTCTCCTCTAGGATATCTTTGACCAGCTGGCCAGGTCATTAGCTCCTAGTATCCATGGACATGACTATGTCAAGAAGGCAATCCTCTGCTTGCTCTTGGGAGGGGTGGAACGAGACCTCGAAAACGGCAGCCACATTCGTGGGGACATCAATATTCTGCTAATAGGTATGGTGTTTGGTTGCTTTAGAGTCTTGCTCTTCCTGGAGAAGTGAGAATGGGAGAATCTGTAGCATGTAAGGTTGTGTCTTCTGTACCTGGTCATATTTCAGCCCCCATCAGGGACAAAAGGCTAAAATGGATCTTTTTTAAATCCCTGGAATTCTCAATTTATAATACCTACAATGTATTCTGTGAATGGTAAAGTGAGAGATATCACATTTAACAGCCAATTACTGTCTGTTTATATTATTCTAAGAACTGTTCAGAAAAAGCAGAACTTGCTGTGGGTGGGGGGAGTTTTCCTAGCGAATCCTCACCACCCCCGTCCCACAGGAGATCCATCAGTCGCCAAGTCGCAGCTTCTGCGGTATGTGCTCTGCACTGCGCCCCGGGCTATTCCCACCACTGGCCGTGGCTCCTCTGGAGTAGGTCTGACAGCTGCTGTCACCACAGACCAGGAAACAGGTAAGGCTGTAAGGGTCCTTGGTAAAGATTGAACACAGATTCTTTGAGCTTGCTGTGGGCATGGCTTGTGTTAGGAAGATGCAGTTGAAAGGTTAGTTGGGGCCAGATTGTAGAAGACTGAGTGTTCTGCAATAATGAGTGAATTAATTCTTTGGGTTGCTTAAATATTCTCAAAAAAGTTTTCCTAGAAGGTGATTGGAAGGAATTTGAAAAAAAAAAAAAAAAACCCAGTAAATTAGAAGGGAAATAAAAATGAAGATTGGACTATTTTAAGAACTAAAGGAAAGATTTGAAGATCAGTGAAAAGTGGAAGTCTAATTGGACTTCTGAGTCTAATTGAGGATGAGGGTGAAGAGAGGCAAGCCATAAAGGACATTTATAAGAGGCTGGTTGGTGTGAGGGTCAGAATGAGACAGGTCTAACTATTCAGATTATAACTCAAAAGGTGGCCCTCCAGGATCTCCTTTAAGTCTTGCAGCTGTAGCTTGTGTGCTAAAAAGGAGGTGCCAGGAAGGAGACTGAAATCCCTCCACTATCCCTTATAACCTAGACCAGAGCAGATATTTCTATCTCCTCTCTTCCCAGGGGAGCGCCGTCTTGAAGCAGGAGCCATGGTCCTGGCTGACCGAGGTGTGGTTTGCATCGATGAATTTGACAAAATGTCTGATATGGATCGCACAGCCATCCATGAGGTGATGGAGCAGGGTCGAGTAACCATTGCCAAGGCTGGCATTCATGCTCGGTTGAATGCCCGCTGCAGTGTTCTGGCAGCTGCTAATCCTGTCTACGGCAGGGTGAGTGCAATCAGGCCCTTAACCATTGTCCTTGCAGCATTTGGTTTTGCTGAATAACTGGGCTGAGAAGCTTATTTTAGGGAGCAACAGGACAAAGAGTAAGATAGGCTCATTATCTTGGTATTGTCCTTGGTTTTTAGTGGTGATTGCTTTCCTGTTCTACGCAGCAGAATCCTCTGGGAAGTTATTTATTTAAAAATAACTTCAAAAGGTAAATAACAAAAAATAATTTGCAGCCTAACAGTCCAGATAAGCTGTATTTCATTAAGATGAAAGTACTCCGTATACGTGGCTGGAGGATTTCTAAACAAAATGGAGGCATATAACATGAAAATTAAAAAGCCTTCCTTTTCCAGGGATAACACCTCCAGCTTTGGAGTGTTCCAGGTAACAAGTTTAGGCATGAACCAGCAAATACACCATTTCGTTGTTAAAAATTATCTCTGTGTTTTTGTTCTATGATGTTCCTAAATGTAATCTTTTGTATTCATTCTGCTTCAGGCTTGCTGAGTTTTGTCTTTGTAAAAACAGTATTGTATTCTGTCGATTTATAGTAATTTATTTAACTAGTTTCCATTTGATGGTTTTCCTTTCCTTCCCTGCAATTTGAACAAAGCCGAAATGACTGTTCCTTCACATGTATCTTGTTATTCTTTGGAATATTTCTATAGTGTAAATACTTAGCAATGGACAGTGGAATTACTGGATTAAGTGTTATATGCATTTTTATTTTAGTCAAAATGATTGACAGATCGCTTTCCTTAAAGATTATACTTAACACTGATTACTACTTCTAGTATTCCAGAATAGTGGTATTATCTAATCTCATTAACAAATACTTACAAATGTTTTTTATTTGTCAAATTCTTTAATTCAGTAATGTGAAGTAGGTAGTTACTTTCATTTTATAGATTACATACTCAAGAGCCGCAAACTAGAAAATGGCAGAGTTGGGATTTAAATCCAGAGCTCAAACTGTGCTCTGACAGGTTATAATCCCACAGCATATAAAACACCTGATTTGGTGGTTCTTTAAACATGCCGATGCATGATTGATAGCCCAGAGTTTCTGAGTTCAAGTCTCCATATTGCGGCTCTTGGTAGCTGTGGTTTGAAAAGGCTCCACAGGTAGGTTCTAATATGTATCCTGAGTTGACAACCATAGGTTTTTAAATAATGCTAATATACACTTAATGCTGAAGAATGACTGGGAAGTACAGGAAAATGGCAGGATCTGAAATGTGACCATGGTCAAAAAGCATTATTAGTATTACCTACAAGGTGCTCAGAATGTTGACTGTGAAGTGTGTGTGAGTGGGTAGGTGTCAACCCAGTCAGTAGGCCTAGAATTGAAAGTATTAGGTTTCTTAAATCCCAAGGAAAAACTCTAGATTCCTAAGACATTGTGCTTCGTAGGTCATTGGCTATTTTAGTTGAGATTTTACCTTCTGAGTAAGAGACTCCAAAGGTTCAAATGCTTCTAACTTATTTGACCCTGTCTTGATGACAGGTGTGTGGGGGTGGTCATCTCTCAGAGTTGATCCTGCCTTGTGTATGAGAAGAGCAGAATCAAGCTTGGGAGGGAAGAGGCTGGATTCGAGACCCACATTCAGGTTGTTAGAGGCGCTTGTGTGAGGAGTTGGGCTTCTGAGTTAGCTCAGGCCATTTGAACTTAGTGTAGGAAAAGGTTGCAAGTGCAAGAGATGATTTATGTATCTTAATAGCTTTAAAATACTTTGTTTTTTCACTTCTTGTCTGCTTTGTTTTGTATGGTCTAGCCTTCCATTTTCATTCCCAGAATTGACCTGTTTTCTTTTCCTTTCTTCCTATTGATGTCACCTCCACTTTTTTTCCTCATGTTCCCCAGTATGATCAGTACAAGACTCCAATGGAGAACATTGGGCTACAGGATTCACTCTTGTCCCGATTTGACTTGCTCTTCATCATGTTGGATCAGATGGATCCTGAGCAAGATCGGGAGATCTCAGACCATGTCCTCAGGATGCACCGCTATAGAGCACCTGGGGAGCAGGATGGCGATGGTGAGGCCATGGAAGAGTAAGAGGGGCTAATGGCAGGGATCCTAACAGTGCAGGTATCTCAGGCCCAACCCAGGGGGAGGTGGGTATTCAGTATCTGATGCTCTCATCTGCCTACCCACTTTCCCTGCCTGCTCACTGCAATTATTCTAAAGAGCATCTTTTGTCTGTTTTTGGATTTGGAGTATCTTTGAGCATCTTCTGTGGGCCAGGTAGTTCTACCCTTCTTATTTGGGTTCCATGTCTGTTTTCCTTTTGGGTCCTTGCTTTGTGAGTCTCTTCCTTTCCTGTGTTGTAGAAGAAGCAATTTCTTCTGGCTTAAACTCTTTCTTACTTCCTTTTCTCTCATCTTGGGTTTACCAGCTATGCCTTTGGGTAGTGCTGTGGATATCCTGGCCACAGATGATCCCAACTTTAGCCAGGATGACCAGCAAGACACCCAGATTTATGAGAAGCATGACAACCTTCTGCATGGGACCAAGAAGAAAAAGTGAGTAGTATTCTTATTTCTCTTTGAAGGGAACATGAGATTTGTATATCTGAGCTCAGTTGAGACATTGTGCTCAGGCCACGGAGGTATAACCATGTGGGCCTTTTTTTCTTTTTTGGGTCTACAGATAATACCCTATATCCTGACCGGTGCCTTGTAAATGTTTGTGGGTGATTAAGCTCAGAGTCAGACGTTTTCCTAAAATAGAAAGTTCTGACACATGTCTTTAGATGGTGGTGTGATACCTTCCTCATACATGTCCTGTAGTCCTTTGGGGTAGTTTATAGTGAAGGCCAGTAGATAGCAAGCACTGGAGACTTTGCAAATGGAGTTGGGTAAAGGAGACTTGTGATTGGGTGTTTAAAGATTGCAGTGTAGAACGCTATGTCTGTTTTTGGTCATGGTGCAGTAAGAAGTAGAGAATAGTCTTCAAAGCCATTTGGTTTAATTGTGCAGAATTTGGAGTCAGAAAACTAAATTTGAGTCCAAGTTAACTTCTTGGAACCATAGTTTTACCAACTATAAAACTATGATACTTCCTAAAGTTTTTACTACCTAACATATGAATAATACTAAAATTAAATTATGTAAAAGGGCATTATGCATTATCCATATAAGAGGTAGTTCTAGGCCTCATCTCTGCTCTGTAATTTGACCTTGACTTCTCTGAGGAGAGGCAAAGCCACTACCTCTGGCAGATAGTGAGGTGTGGCTGAGAGGTGGAATTCACTGTGTGTGGGTCCAGGGAGAAGATGGTGAGTGCAGCATTCATGAAGAAGTACATCCATGTGGCCAAGATCATCAAGCCGGTCCTGACACAGGAGTCAGCTGCCTACATTGCAGAAGAGTACTCACGCCTACGCAGCCAGGACAGCATGAGCTCAGACACGGCCCGGGTGAGTGCCCAAGGGTCTGGGGCCCCTTAGCTGGATGGCTAGGGCAGGAGTCCCTGCCCTTCGGGAGCTTTGGAAGCATTTAACTTAATGATCTTTCCTGGTCTGAAGAAGAGCTTCCTGCTAGCACAATTTTAACCATTTCCTTTTCTAAAGGAAAATGAAATAAGGGCAGGTATCTCAGTCAGTGAAATATGACTGACATCTGGAAACACAGCTGGTCCCTATACCTACATGCAGTGTGAAAATACAAGAGCTATCCTCGGAGAGCTCCTGTTTGAGAGGGAGAGGCAGAAAGGTAGATAGAAGGATCACATGTACGTATTTGTAAGTGTGTACCTCAGTATGATACTTCCAAAGGAATGAATGTGAAGGGATACTTGAGTGCAGATGATGACTGATTTTTCTTACAGAATTCCCTGGAGGGGTGTGAATGTCAGGAAAGGATCCCCAGAGAGTGATGTTTGGGTAGGACTTCAACAAATAATTGGAAGTTAGTTGAGCAATTATGATAACTGCTGAGAGCAATTTCTAGTAACATAACATAGTTGCCCTTGAATTTATGTAAATCTTTAGGGATCAGGTGGCTCATGTAGGATTTTATATCCAGAAAAGACCCAAGTTCAAAATTGTCATTGTATGTAACACTCTTGCATTTAGATGTGATGCTGTATCATGTACTGTAGCTTCACACACATTCCGTCTTCTGCTAGGACTTTCCAATTCCAGCGACAGCGTATTTCTACATTGGATTCTTAAAATAAGCTCCTATTGATCATAAACCTACTTCCCCTCAACTTCTACACATGGATTTTAGTTTTGCTTTCTAGAGATATATAGCACATTTCTTCTTACTAAGCAGCTCCCTTTTTAACTGCCTTTCCCCTCGTGTGAACTGCTCCTGTGTGTCAAGGCTCTCTCATCTAGCAAACAATTGACCATAATTCACCATTTTGGTTGTGGTCTTGGTAAGTCCCTTCGTTTGGATTTTGTAGCTCTGCTAGTGCAGACTCAGATTTCATCAAATTTTTAGGTGATTGAAGAATTAAAGCTTATAAAGAATTGAAGAATATAAAGCTTATAAAGAATTAAAGCTCCAAACTCTGCTTTGCAAATCATTAAAAAATTTAGTGAATGTATTTAAGGTCATTTTTTTTTTTTTTTAATATTGGTGTGAGTATAAATGGAAATTTAGAAAAAGAAGTGAGCAAGATGTGTCTCTGAAGAACATACTATGGGAAACAGGGAGGGGTAATAGAAAGAATGATCCCTGTGTCTGATCCCAGCTCTGCAACTAGCTTTGGAGCTTTGCACAAATCCTTTCACTGTTCACTTACCTCTTGCTCCATGACAAGAGAAGATTGGATATTATCAGGACACATCAGCGTCACCTGGAACTTAAAAAGCACACACGCCCACTCCCGAATACGGAGATTATCATCATCTGGTCAGGGACCCATTCAGACAATGGCATTTTGAAAAGAAAAGAGCAGTTTGGCATGTCCCCACCCTGTGAGAAACACTTGTTAGGAACTTGTCAGGGTTCTCTTCCTCCGGACTTAAGTGAGTTTACACAGCTTGTAAAAATTTGTCCTCAGATCACCTCTTTTGTACTCCTCCCTCTGAAGCTTTTTGATTCCAATTTCCCTCATCTGTGAAATCCCTCCATTATTAAGAGAAGAATATGAAAATTAACTTCCTGATATATCATAGGCCTGCAGTAAGTGATTCTTCTCTCTTTCATACTCTTTTCTAACTTTGTATCTTCCCAGCTATGAGAACCTTAATTTTATTTTTTATTCACCTGGTTTTTCCTTGCCTGAACACTCTCATATTTCCTTCACACTTTGTTTTTAATCTTTCTGAGTTTTGACTGTTACTTACAGAGAAAACAGCTCTAAGTTACTTGCATTGGCTTCCTGGGTCATTTCTGGTAGTGTCTTTATTTCTGCTTTTGTGCTGTAGAAGTGGTGGCATTCTACAGGGTTCTGGATTGGTAATCCCCTCTTGTTTTCTTTCTCAGACATCTCCAGTTACAGCACGAACTCTGGAAACTCTGATTCGATTGTCCACAGCTCACGCAAAAGCCCGCATGAGTAAAACCGTGGACCTGCAGGATGCAGAGGAAGCTGTGGAGCTGGTCCAGTATGCTTATTTCAAGAAGGTGGGCCTTGACCTCCTTTTCCTCTTGCCTGCCTCTTTTCCCATCTGGTGAATTGTAGCCCTGGGGCATTTAGTGGTAGGTCTTGCATGCTTTTCCCTGTTTGCTAGATTGGTGATTATATTAAATTTCAATTAAGCACCTGATTTATGAAGATATAATTTTCTACTTAACCATTATGGTTTGGACACCTACTCCCATTTGCTTTTTTATTAAGCAAGAATTAAATATTTACCATGTGAAAGTCCTCCCAGCCTGCTCCCAGGACTTGGAGACTAGAGAGACTTAGTGAGCCCTTAGACATGTGGAAGTCATTTCTACTGATGGTGCAGAAACGACTCTTAGGGTTCTTTGTTCAGTTCCCAGCATCACCCACGCTTTCCTTGGTTCTAGGTTCTGGAGAAGGAGAAGAAACGTAAGAAGCGAAGTGAAGATGAATCAGAGTCAGAAGATGACGACAACAAGAGTCAGGAGGACCACACGCAGAAGAGGAAGAGGTAAGGTGGGGCAAAGCGAAGAGATGGAAAGCTCTGTTTGGGGACTGTAGAGAGGGATGGAGTAGGGGGATCAGGTGCTGCTTGTTGACATCAGGTTCTTCAGGGACCTGCAGGGTTTGAAGACAAGATAACCTGAGCACAGGAGAGAGAGCGGGATTGAGCCCCTCTGTTGAATTTAGAATGATGCTTTGGACCACTCTGCATTGCTAAAGAATTGCTAAATAGCAGGAGCAGGACCTTGAGCTTGCCAGGTACCACTTGAGCCACACGTCCTGCCCTTCAGAATTCTTTTTTCTTTTTTTGTGGTGCTGGGGTTTGAACTCAGGGCCTACACTTTGAGCCACTCCACCAGCCTTATTTTTGTGATGGGTTTTTTTTGGATCTCTCAACCTATTTGCCCGTGCTGGCTTTGAATGTCGATCCTCATGATCTCTGTCTCCTGAGTAGTTAGGATTATAGGCGTGAGCCACTGGCGGTCAAAATTCCTGGGATATTTTTTCCCCTCGTGCCTGTGATTGAATTTATAAGAATGGGTGATACGGAAAAAGCATTGAGAAACAGCCTGTCTGTATTCTAGCCTGGAGAATGTCTTTCGCAGAGTAGCAGTTTGTGCAGGCCTAGTGTTCCACGTAGGTTGTAGATGGATGTTTCCTTGTCTTCTGTGGTCAGTGACACAAGATGGGGTCTCCAAAGCTTTCATTTTTTTAACTACTATGGATATTTTAGGAGGAAGACTCGTCAGTCAGATGCCAAGGAGGGGGATTCATACGACCCCTATGACTTCAGTGACACAGAGGAGGAAATGCCGCAAGGTAAGTGAGTGTTCCCCAATAGAAAGAGGTGGTTCCTTTGACTCAAGATATCTTTAGTTGCTATTGGGCTCCTATTTGACTCCCTACTTGGTACCCTATGTCCAAAAGGTTTGTCCCAAGAGAAGCTCATGGTAAACCCATGGTAAAAATTTTGGAAAATAGACATTATTTAGTTGTTTGCTTCCTCCTCGATGAACTGTGATCTTTTGCCAAGCCTGGTGTAAGCATCTGCCTGACTTAATTCCTTTATCATCCAATAGAGAGTTCCCTTTCTCCTCACTATCCTTCTTGATAGTGAGGAGAAACCATAGGAAACAGGAACGTTCCCAGGCTCATTGAGGAGTGGGGAGTACATAGGATAACTTCTCTGGTATTGAAGGTAATGGCTTCACCTTGCTGTCTTCCCCATCTCTACTCTTATCAATACATAAAGTACACACTCCAAAGACGGCAGAGTCACAGGAGACTAAGGAAGCCCAGGTGGAGTCAAGTGAGTCACAGGAAGCCAAGGAAACTCAGAAGGTGGAGTTGAGTGAGCCTAGGTGAGTGGGGAAGTTGCTCTTGTGCCTCTTGAGTTCCCTCTGAGTGAGAACTAGTTCCTGTAGTATCTCCTCTTGGAAGGGGGTATTTCAATGAGCCACTTGCCACCAGAACTCAAAGCCAGAGGTCCAGTGGTTTTAAAAGCACTCTCTACTCTGGGTATGATGTCACAGTCACAGAACAGTTGCAGAAACAGTGTGAAGAGCTCCTGTGTCAACTTGCCCGAGGCCCTAGCTGTTGTCTACTTTTACCTTTGCTTTACTTAATTCTGTTTGTGGGAGTCTGAATTATTATGTCCTTATTTGCAAGCAAAATTTGTGTCTTACTGTAGAACCTAGATTCTCACTAGGATTACATGTAGTTTTTTTCCTCATAGTGATCATATTTTTCAGAGTGAATTTGTACTAGTCTCAGAAAATGTTTTTGTCTGTAAATTTTGTTTATTGGACACCAAAAAAACTCAGTAGCTAAGTAACTTTTTTCTTTCTATGTCTGAAACACATAAAACACAATATGTGAAGAAAATCAGAAAAACATTAAAAAGTATTTAGGGAACTACACCAAAATCAGTTGTAATTCCACCCTCCAGAGACAGCCATTGAACTCTTATCTTGAAGTGCTGTCTGAATCAGCGCACATGAATTTCACTCTTACGTATGGCAGGCTTTTCATAGTATGGATTAATGAGTTCTCTAATGATGGACATTAAGGTGGTTCCCTGTAGTTGCTGCTGTTTATAGTAAAGCATTCTTTTATCCCTGTATACTCATGCAACTATAATAAAGTGAGTTCCTAGAAATAGATTCCTTGGATCAGCAAAGGGGTGTGTATGTGTGTTTATGTGAGTGTGTGTGTGAATGGGAAAGAATATGAATTGGGTGACACTTCTATTATGTTAACATCTTGGGTTTTCCCAGTGTGGATCTTGCCTGAGAGCATTTGGGTTTGCTTGCTTCTCACCCTTTTTTTTCCTGTCTGAGGCAGGTTGAAGTCATTCAAGGTAGCCCTCTTGGATGTATTCCGGGAAGCTCATGCACAGTCTGTGGGCATGAACCGGCTCACAGAATCCATCAACCAGAACAAAGAAGATCCCTTCTCTTCAGAAGAGATCCAGGCTGCACTGAGCAGGATGCAGGACGACAACCAGGTCATGGTGTCTGACGGCATCATCTTCCTCATCTGAGGAGATGCATCTCTGAACTTGGCGCTGTTGTTTTCCTACACCTCTCCCACCCCAGTCTTTGCCTTCATTCTCTAAACAAGTAATTGACTGAAGTTATGGGACAAGGTGATGAAGTTGGATCAGGACTTTGTGGAAGCTTTGGGATGGGTAATGAAGACTGTGGGGTAAGGAAAGAAAAGAGTGGAGAAGGTCTCTTCTGCAAAAGGACTGGACCATCTACTTCCAATCCCTAAACAGACCCAGTGTTATTTTATGTAAATAACATAGGACTTGAGTATGTTTTGGGGCACAGGTGGTTTCTGTTCATCTTTTCTATGTCTGTAGTCTTTTTTAATTCTCCGTTTGGTCTAGAAAAGTCTTGAGTTCTGTGCTGGTGGAGAAGGGACTGGAGCAGATCATGTAGGTCCTTTGAAGAAAGCTTTCTTTGCAGTTAAAGACTAATGCATTTTTGTCTTAAACCTTCAGGAAATTGAATAAACTTCACTGTTTTGTGTATATGGTCTTAATACTTTGTACTTCTTACATACACATTTAAATTTGTTTTCTTGAAAGCTCTGCCTGCAGGATTTGCTGTCCCCCCATTTGCACAGAGTCACCACAAGGTGGCAACATCTGCTGCAATCTTGAAGAACTACGTCTTTCTGTTCACGCAGTTTCTTCCTCAGTAGCACGAACATTTGTCAGTCAAAATTGATCATGCAAATCAAACTCTGCCCATTTAGAATAGCTAAATGACCACAAGATTTCAGAGATGAAAGTCCCCGAGAAGAATTGACCCTCTGGCTTTTCTGAGCCTGAGTTAAAGCAGACCCCTTCATAAAGAAATGATTCTCCATGGCAGACTCCCTCAAAATTGTATGAGTTCTTGTCCACAAAGAGTACCCTTCATAGGGTACCTGTGTCCAGCCTTTGGGGTTTGTTAGCCTGTTTGCATAGAAGTTTGTGGAGGGGACAGAACAGGGCTTCTGTTGTGTGGTTTGAGTAGCTTCCAAAAATCTATTAAGGTTGCTTCAAAGAAAGAACAAAAAACTGACTTTCTGGGGAACCTGGGTCACAAAGATTGGAAGCTGTTTCCTGGTGGCAGATGTGGCTCTGAGAAGTTGTCCCTGTTACCATCTGTGAGGTTGCTGAAGCATCCCCTTCTTTTTTGCTGAGGGGTGGCCCTTCACTCTGAAGCTACAAAGGCAGATTTTCTTTGGCTTTTCATGACAAAGAGTTTTTTTTTTCCCCTTTTTTTGGTGAGACTGGGGTTTGAACTCAGGGCTTCCCACTTGTAAAGCAGGCATTCTACTGCTTGAGCTACACATCCAGTCTGTTTTGCTGTGGTTAATTTTGGAGATAGAGTCTTATGAACTGTTTGCCCACGCTGGCCTCAAACTGTCAGCCTCCCAAGTAACTAAGATTACAGGTGTGAGCTACCTACAAAGATTTTTTTTTAAAAAAAGGAGGGTAAAGTGATTGGGGTAGTTCAGTTTCATCTTCATTTTTTCACATGTAAAATCAAGTACCGTTGGAAGTGATCTAGAGCACAGTTCCAAAGAGGAATGTCAGTCACATTGATTACTGATAGTGAGCCAGAAGCACGAGGTGCTGTAGTGTGTGTAAAATAGGACCTAACAGCTCTTGGAAGTTATGGGCTAGGAAGATGTATGTGTGATATGCGAGACAGAAGAGTTGAGGGACCATGACTGTTATGAGGAGGGTGGGGCTGCCATTGGGATACAGTTATAAAGAAAAGATAATTTTTTTGTGAAGTTTTAAAAATGTTCTATTCCAGAAAGGCCAAAGGTTTTAGGACTATCCTTCACCCCCAAGGAAATAGACACAAAGTGGAAGAGTAGGTGTACCCATCATTTTTATAATAATCAGGTTTTTCTTGCCTAACCATTTCAGCTAGCCAAAGAATACAAGGTGTTCAGCTGCCACAATAGATGTTAATTGTATTAAAATGACTTAGGAATTCAAGGAAATTTTAAGAAACTTGTTTGCATGTGTAGTTGCCAACTTGTTAGCAATATAAAAGAAGCTGGAAAGCATTTAATTATATATATATGCTTCTGGGGAGGCTATACTGGGGTTTGAACTCAGAGCTTTGCATTTGCTAGGCAGGCACTCAACCACTTGAACCACTCTCCCAGCCCACTTGTAAGCACAGGTTCTTGCTCATTGCCAGGAAGCCCTCCTGCAGGACCTGTGCCAGGAATCTAAAAGAGCTGCTTGGGCAGGTACTCAGTTTATGACCAACCACTCATGAGAGCATCACTGTCACCAAACACTGACCCAGATTCACCAGAAAAAAGATACTAAGTTGTCTATGTGCTTTGTTCCAAAGGGGAAGTCCTTACATAGAGGGGGTGCCCTCTGGAAAAGTTAAATAATTGCGGTGCATAGAGAAATGAGTTTTTCTATCTTCAAAAATATTCTTTAACTCTCCTGGATGAATGAAGTGCCAATATAAAAGAAATTTTCAAAATAGTTAAGTTGGTGGGAATTGGTGGGATTGAGTCTCTGCCACTTACCGAGTTAACTTCAGGTGAATTTTGAGTTGCTACTTATTTCAGCTATAAAGTGAGGACACTTCCTGCCATGTTGGGTGCTTGTGAGACAAATGGGAGAGCGGGTTGCAAGTGCCTGCCCGGCAGGTAACAACCCCATCGTAGTGTACCGCTACAATTTCCAGGGCACGCAAAAATAAAGTGATTCCTTTTGATGAGGGCATTTATTTATTTATTGTTGTACTGGGGGTGCATGGTGACATTTCCAACAGTTCTTACAATTTATAATAGTTGAATTCACCCTCTCTTGATGAGGGTTTTTTTGAGTATCTTGTCATCAGAACTAATGCAATGAGGGGCTGGAGATAGAGCTTAGTGGTAGAGTACTTGCTGAGCAAGCACAAGGCTCTGGGTTCAATTTCCAGCCTAACGCCCCACCCCTGAAAAACAAAACGGATTTCACCCTTGTTGGATTCCTGAACCCTTTTCTTCCCTGCCTCCTCGACGGTGCCTGTCTCACACAGTGTAGCTCTGACCCAAGCGTGTCCCACAGGAAGAACCATATGTCTAGCTTGTGACAAGTTCTTTAGCCTTCTCTCAAGAACAGATTTTCTGCCATGCATGGGCAGTGTTACAACAGCCTTGTAAGGAGGAGAAAGAAACCAAAGAATCAGCTGATTATTTCCTTTTCATTTCTTTTGACAAGGTTCAAGCTACACCTTTGTTCTGATTCCAGACTTTCTGAGGTGAGGTCTAGCCAAAGGGTTTTGTCAGTGGGCTAAGACAGGTAAGTCAGGTGTGCTGACTGCCTCAGTTATGTAGTCTTCAAAGTAGCTCCGTGTGCATTCTTCCCCTTCCCTGCCATCCTCAGGAGCCAGGCACCGACTGCGCAGGAGATCTCATCAGAGCGCCAGAGGCTCTGAGGGAAATAAGCCCTGCACTAGTGTGTTCAGGGTCTGTTTCTGGTAGTACAGAGCTGAGTTCTGCACAGAGCTACATCCTTAGAGGGCAATGCACAGTTTCTTTTTCTGGAAAAAGTGGTTGAACCAGGTGATCTCTGAGGCTCCTCTGGTAAAGCATGTGAGTTTGTTGATTCTATTCACAAGACACATTAGCTCTGGTACCACCAGATAAAGTCTGAGTCAGGATGCTTGTAGAGACAAGTCAGAACGAGTGTTTTATCACCTTAATAAGTAGTCATTCTTCAGTATCTGTGGTTCCAGAGTACCAAAATCTGAGGAGGCTTAAGTATCTTGTATAAAATGGATATAAAATGTAAAAATATTTGCACATAACTGTTAGAAATGGAAAAATGGTGAAGAATGGATAAACAAGGAGATGGCTTATACGCCAGCACAGGATTTATTGTGGAGGAGTGGTCCTGCGGAGGGGGTCCCCAGCAAGAGAGCTGGAGCCCACCACAGCTTACAGACTGGTAGATAAAGGAGGTGGGTGGAGAAACCCCAGGAAGGTCACTACTGGCAGGATAATCCTCAATGACCCTCTGATCCTCCTGAGATAATGGTTTAAGGATGGGTCATTCCTTCTGGCAGGTGAGGAGTTTCTAGTAAATGTCTTAAGGTGGATGTCTATTTTTCTTCAGGGCCAGGTGGAGAGTTCAATAAGTCACCTTCAATGGGGCGGGGGTCCAGTTCCAACATGGCTTCCTTTTGTTCACTCTAACAAAGACTTGTCTAAACCTACAGCCAGCATTATACTTAACGGAGAAAAACTGAAACCATTCCCTCTAAAATCAGGAACCAGACAAGGATGCCCACTATCTCCACTCCTATTCAACACAGTACTGGAATTCCTAGCCAGAGCAATTAGGCAAGAAGAAGGAATAAAAGGAATACAAATAGGTAAAGAAACTGTCAAAATATCCCTATTTGCAGACGACATGATCCTATACCTTAAAGACCCAAAAAACTCTACTCAGAAGCTTCTAGACATCATCAATAGCTATAGCAAGGTAGCAGGATATAAAATCAACATAGAAAAATCATTAGCATTTCTATACACTAACAATGAGCAAACGGAAAAAGAATGTATGAAAACAATTCCATTTACAATAGCCTCAAACAAAATCAAATACCTAGGTGTAAACCTAACAAAAGATGTGAAAGACCTCTACAAGGAAAACTATACACTTCTGAAGAAAGAGATTGAGGAAGACTATAGAAAGTGGAGAGATCTCCCATGCTCATGGATTGGTAGAATCAACATAGTAAAAATGTCGATACTCCCAAAGTAATCTACATGTTTAATGCAATTCCCATCAAAATTCCAATGACATTCATTAAAGAGATTGAAAAATCTACTGTGAAATTTATATGGAAACACAAGAGGCCACGAATAGCCAAGGCAATACTCAGTCAAAAGAACAATGCAGGAGGTATCACAATACCTGACTTCAAACTATATTACAAAGCAATAACAATAAAAACAGCATGGTACTGGCACAAAAACAGACATGAAGACCAGTGGAACAGAATAGAGGACCCAGATATGAAGCCACACAACTATAACCAACTTGTCTTTGACAAAGGAGCTAAAAATATACGATGGAGAAATAGCAGCCTCTTCAACAAAAACTGCTGGGAAAACTGGTTAGCAGTCTGCAAAAAACTGAAACTAGATCCATGTATATCACCCTATACCAAGATTAACTCAAAATGGATCAAGGATCTTAATATCAGACCCCAAACTCTTAAGTTGATACAAGAAAGAGTAGGAAATACTCTGGAGTTAGTAGGTATAGGTAAGAACTTTCTCAATGAAACCCCAGCAGCACAGCAACTAAGAGATAGCATAGATAAATGGGACCTCATAAAGCTAAAAAGCTTCTGTTCATCAAAAGAAATGGTCTCTAAACTGAAGAGAACACCCACAGAGTGGGAGAAAATATTTGCCAACTACACATCAGACAAAGGACTGATAACCAGAATATATAGGGAA